TATCTGATAGTAACACCGGCATTATGCCAGATTTACCAATATTTAATTTTATAATTTTTTTTATCCGATTACTCGATTAATCGTAAGAATAATCGATAGATTACTCGATTACTAAAATATTCGTTTACAACAGCCCTAGACACAGCCAGTGTACTCCACAATGCTCTTTTGCAGCAGAAACCAGCAAGTGTACACTATTATCGTAACATTTCTGTAGTAAAGTAGATTATTTTTATTCTCATTGCAGATGAACAAAGTTAGTGAAAATAAATGCTTAAAATGAACTTTATGAATTCTTCTGGGATCTTGATGTCATACCTGTGATCTGTTGGCAGCTGGTTTTTTCGTCCCCTTTATTTTTGCTGGAATCTCTTTACCCCGCCTGCACAGAACAAAAAGAAACACATTTTAAAAGAAATAGTTTTTAATCTTTTCAACACAACCACTGTCAGCAGGACTCTGTGAGCTTGCACTCACTTGTTGCCAATTTGTAAAGATCAACTGTTTTTATGTGCATGACAAACTACTGGATGACTGATCATAGCTAAGAAGATAATATGTCTGGTGAACCTCACCCTTTTCCGGCTCCCACCGAGACCACCTGCATGTTGAACCCTCCTCTGCCGCGGAGAGGCTTGTTTCCAGCCCACTGGCCCACCACCATGCCGGCGATCTCCAGCTTCCCTCCCTGAGGCGGGATGGACTGAATGCCTGGGCAGAAAAAGAAACGCTGATCAAAGTTGGTCATAAAAATCTACAAACCTCATCAGAATATCTGATTTTGTGGTGCTGTTAGAAGTATTTGTAGGATTATTTTAGTAATTAATTATTCTGGCGATTAACTGAACAAAAAAAAAAAAAATGGCACATTCTTTGGATTCTTCATTCAACCACTTAAGCTTAATTTATATTAAAAAAAAGACATAAAAAATGCAAATGAATAATTCAAATACTTTAAATAAGAAAAAAAATGTTATTGCCTAAAAGTCAATACAAGCATTCTTTTAGTGAACACTTGTACGTGCAAAATTTATAAATTTTTTGCTTCATTACTGCTTTGAAAATGTTCTGATTAATAATTGTATTGCAAAAGATGTTTTTTTAAAAAAAACAATTTTAAATGGATGACGCTAAAACTGCAACTTGATTAGTTCTGGGTAGAACATATTTACAGACAAAAAGTTTTCTGTTTTAAATGCAAAATGTGTTTATTTTAAACTTTGAGTGAATTTCTGCTCTGACTGTGGTGTTGTTTAAGCAAATTACCTTTTTACTTAAGTGTTTCCTCTCCAGTTAATGATTAATCGATTACTAAATTAGTTGACAATTATTTCAATAATCGATTAAATCATGAATAATCAGAATAATCGTTTCAGGAAGGCCAAGCCAAATATTTTCATTTTATAGCAAAAGTAAATATCTGTTGCTCAGGTTATTTATGACAACCTCCATCTAGTTTTTGATCATTTTATCAGCTGCGTTTTCCTCCTTTCCACACAAACCGACCTTTTAACCTGTAATTTTGAGCTCATGTTCATTCAAAGAGTCTGCAGAACCGCGTGTGTTGAACTGGAGCGTACCTGGGAAAGCTCTGGGTCTGTGTTGGCTGGGGTGATGAGGATGGTGCGGGTGATGAGGGGGCATGCCGCCCATGGGGCGAGGCGGGTAGAGAGGCATGGGGTAGAAAGGGGGCACCATGGCGGGGGGCAGGAAGGCAGGAGGCGGCAGAGGAGGCGGAGGGGGAGGAGGACGAGAGAGGTTGATGCCCTCGAGGATCGCCTGCCGCATCTTCTCCACCTTTGACACCAGCTCCTCCTGCAGAGCAGAACGATGAGACGCTGGATGAATCGAGCTCAACATGTTGTCAGCTGCAGACGGTCGTTTGGTTTTAGTAGGAAAATCACTGATTGGTGAAAGAAAGATGGAGTCGTGCCTGTGTGAAAATGGCTGCAACTGACAATTACTTTACCAACATTCAATTATTCTGACGATTAATTAGATAAATAAATTTATACATTCTGCTTTATTCATTGAACAACAAGTTTTGTTTAATACAATTTTAGAAATAATTTGAAAGAACCAAATAATTAAATTCAATTTTTAAATAATAAGCATCTTATTGCCTACAATGCAATAACAGCATTTCTCCAGTGGTCATAGATTGATTCATTTTGTATTAATCATTAATATTTAGATACAGGTGCTTAGCAGGAGAATTTGAACCAGGTGAAGCTAAAACTGGGAAAACACATCAGACAAAGATTTTACTTTTTTTTTGTACAGTTTTGATTTAATTACTGCAGTGAATATGCTATTAATTCAGCAAAAGGCCTTTTTTAAGTCTGTATATTCCAGTTAATTACTAAAGGGATTAATAAAGTTAGCTATGGGTAGCACATATTTACAAATGCAGGTTTTTCATCTAAAATACAGAATGTATATATTCTTTGCACAGTTTTGACTTAATTGCAGCCCTCATGGTGTTGCTTTTTTCAGCAAATGACATGTTTTAGATTCTGTACACTCCAGTTAATCAATCAATTGCTAAATTAGTTAATTATTTAAATAATTGTTAAATCATGATTATTCTGATTGTTTCAGGACTGCATATGCATTACACCTTGTCTCCAGTGTGTGAAGAAACTAAACCGAAAGCCCTGAGCCATGTTTATTGCCCCCCGCCTCGGTCTCTTACCTGCCCCTCGCACATGTCCAGCAGGGCGGCCCGGTCGCGGGCGGCCCGCGCCAGTTTGCTCTGGAAAAGTTTGCCGTCAAAGAAGCCCCAGGGGCAGCAGTGTTCCCATGGCAACGGCTGGCCGCAGACATCATTGATGAACAACGCCGTGTCGACGCCGGCCATGAAGAGAGCAGCCAGCTGCACACCGCGGGCGTCCACCTTCTCCACCTGACGGACGACACGGAGAACAGAACGACAAAATAAAGAAACATGGCTGCTGCAGACCAAAAACATGAAAATATGTTAAAAGAAGTTGAATATTTGATCATTAGTGCTTGTTAATGGGTAGCTTCACCTTTACATTCAGCCACAATGTAAATGATGGGGCCCAAAATGAACCGTGCTTCTTTTCAATCGGGTCGAGCCGCTTCAGTGTGAATTGATTTCTCTTTTGTTTCATGACAGACTGGGAATAAAAAAGTGACTCGTCACCTTGAGCTCCTGCAGCTGGTCGGGTTCGTAGAGCTGGCTGGAAACGGCCTGGGCCAGGAAGGCATCGAGCTCGTGTCTCTGGAGGATCCGTCCACCGGGCCACTGCATCATATACCTGAGAGGAGAACCAACCAGAACCGGCTTCATGGAGCAGCAACAGAAAACCAACAGCTGGGTCAAAACCAGATGTTAGGAACAGGAAAATAAATATTATCTGGTTAAGGGGTGTCCAAACTGAGGCCTGAGGGCCATTTGTGGCCCATGAACTGAACTTACAGTTCAAGACTCACACAACTGTGTTCCATCCAGCACAGCTTGTTTGATGCAAAATGGAGATTTTTAATTTTTTCTCATGGTAAAATTATTACCGGCATACGCGATGAAGTTGTTTGTGTGACTCAAACTTTTGCTTTACAGAAAAAAAAACCTACATATAATATTTGAGATTAAGTAGTTCTGTAAGGAGAAAACTTATAACCCATTATTAACATATATAAGGAAAAAATATTTTTAATGAATTTAAGACATTTTAAAGCCTTAATTTTAGTTGCATTAATTTAAAACTTTTTAAGGATGTGCAGACATCCTGTAATAAGTACAGACTTTTACAGAAAAGTCTATTTTTTGCACCCAAAACAACTTTTAATTTATTTTACTTGGCTAAATATATTTATTTAAATATTTTCCTCTATACCTCGAGCAGTGTTTCTCAATTCCGGTCCTCTGCATGTTTTAGATGTGCCTCTATTTCAGAACAGCTGATCCAAATGATTGCATTACCTCTTCTGCAAGCATCAAGTACTGCAGAAGCCCACAGATTCAATCCAGGTGTGGTGGGGCAGCAGGGAAATACCTAAAACATGCAGGGCAGGGGGGCCTGAGGACCAGAACTGAGAAGCACCGACCTAGAGTGAGTGTACACACACACACACACACACAGGCTACTCGTCAATTTAGAGTCCACTTTGAGAAGCTGTTTTTGACTTGGAGCTTTAAATAGAGCAGCATCATCTTACATTAAAGGAGTTTTCCATCCCTCCATCCTTTGCAGGTCACTGAGGTCCTGTGACTAAAAGGAGAAAGAGGTTCTGGAAGTGTCTTCCCCTGAACCTGAAATCTGTGGCTTGAAATCTGATTTTTCATCCTTACGTTTGCTTTTTTTATTCGTCTTGTTAGGTTTTTTTTTTGTAAAGGAATAAGAATCCTTCCAGCTGCACAACATCCAAGACCAAATGAAAAACTCTCAAAAAGCAAACCTCACCTTCCCTTCAAGCTTCTAATAAATAAAGGAAACTAAAAAATCTTAGAAAAATAAATAAATAAAAAAGCTTCCCTGCTAAAAATATGAGACATGATGAAATGTGGATTCTGTTTAGAGCAGTGATGTCTGAACTTTTTGCCAAAACTGGGAAATTTAAACTAAATGCAAAAAAGAAATTGTTTGGTTTTTAGATTTTTGGGGGGTTTTGTTTTACTTGCTCAACAAAGAACATTTTTATGAAATCAGCAAATTAAAGATCAAAAATATAAAATTGTGACTATCCGTTTGATTTTTGTTGTTTATGTTGATTTATATATAAAAAAGGCCATTTCTTTGGGTCATCAATAGTTTTCTGTTTTATTGACCTAACTTTTGCTATTTTAGGTTTGTGGTCAAGGGCCGTACAAAATAATTTCAATACACCTAAAATACTTTTTTAAAATTCAAATTCAAAAATACCTTACTGAATCTGATTTACTGATGCAATCTGCTGGCTTTCCTTTTAAATAGAAACCTTTTAATCTACTTTGAATAAGTGAGCCTGTTTATTAACTGGGATCAACTGGAATGTGTGTGTGTTGAACCGAAATTATTTTTTGTAAAACGCTTTGGGACAACATTTATTGTGAATTTGTGCTATGTAGATAAATGGAATTGAAACGGAATTTATCCCAAATAGAAATGAACCAACCAAGATTAAATAAAAATAGTTTGACACAATTAAATAGAAACGGACAGATGTGGATATGTGATGTCAAATTCATGACATTCCTTCTCTGTAATGTCTCAGTTTCAGCCTTAGCTTTCCTACCTGAGCACGCAGCACATGAGCAGCAGATGCTGAGGGACTTGTGCTGGGTTGAGGAGGGCTGGGCAGTCGGAGCGCAGGCAAGCCAGGAAGGCTCTGGTTCTCCTGGAGCGGTCCTCGCTGGCCCGGCCCAGCCAGAGCCGCCGCAGGTTGGGGCAGGTCCACTCCCGGAAACACAGAGCCGGAACCAGCTCCGGGGTCAGAGCCGACTTGGCCTTGCCGCTGCTCCACTCTTTGACGATGACAGGAGGAACTGGAACGCAGGGAGGAGGAAGCAGAGTTGAAGTTTAGGATCTTTATGTTTGGAGTAGGGATGGGAATCGAGAACCGGTTCTTGGTAAGCCCGATTACTTCGAATCGTTAAGCCGCTTGCTAAACGATTCTGCTCATCGGTTCACATAACGTGCGACGTATTTGCGTGATGCATACACTCTGTATTGAGAAAATATCCAAGATGGCGATCTAAAATCTGTTTATATTTGACAAAACGAGGCGATACTCGGCCCGGTTAGAACATGTTCAGAACTTTAATCACAACTCAAGGAGCAAATACCTCAAACATCCTCAGTTAACTACGCAGCACGAATGTAAAGTGTTTGATCGGTTGCTTAGCAACAGTGGTGACCCTCGAGGGGCGGAGCCTCCAGCAAAGCGTCTCCTGCTGTGAATGTCCCAGGTAACGTTAAACTGCTCCACATCCTGGTTTAAATGTTAGCTCTGTACTGTATGAATAATCTCATATTAACATTTACAGTCATATTCAATAAATTCAGTATTTTTACACAAACCTTGTTTATCATATTAAAAGCATGAAAACTGTTGATGTGCAGAAAATTGCATTTCATGTTAAAATGTTAATTTGACAGATGGATTTAACCCACTTTTAATTTTGTTTGAATTGAATACAACATGGTGCATATTTTATATTAGATTTTATTTCCTAACTGAAAAAGAATCGATAAGGAATCGAATCAATAACCAAGATCAATAATCGAATTGGTATTCCCATTCCTAATAAGGAGGTTTGTTTTGCCTGCTGAATGTAAGTAAGTAAGTAAGCTTTATTTATATAGCACCTTTCACAGGCATGAAAATGACATATTTTATGATCAGTTACTCAGTACTTGAAGAATGTTTGTGCTAAATACTAATACTCTTAGTTGACCAATTTCTTGGAAAGCTACTTTTTACTTTTGACTAAAAAAATGACCAAGTAATGCTACTCTTACTTTGGCTACTTCATCCACCTCCTATTAAGACTCTATAGAGATCATTCGCGCTCCAAGTCAGGAAAACTTTGTTTCTTCACCTTCTAGCGGGGTCCTCTTGCGGAGGGCGAGCCTCTCCAGGCGGCGGTGCGTTTCAGCCAGACTGAAGAGGACGCCGTACGCGTACTGTCTGGCAGCTCGGAACAGCAGGGAGGCAGGAGGCAGCTCCGAGTTACACTCGTCCTCTATACACACTGGCATCTTCATCTCTCCCTGAGGGACGACCACAAACCGTGAGCGCCCAACATCTCCATAGCAACCGTTTCTGTTATAATAACCCGGCCAAACGGATGCATCAGAAGAAGCTTTACAGCTGAACCTTCACAGCCCTGAAGGGTTTTGCTGCGTCTGCCTCAAAACAGACAAAATACTCGAAAATGATCACTTATTCTGAAAATATGGTGCTCAGAAGAGCACTCTGGGAAACTGAGTTCGAAACAAGCAAAGGCCTTTGGAACTGTCCTAAAATTGTTCAGTTTTTGAAAACTGTGCACAAAACTATGAAGATGATTCTGGGATTCAATATTATTATGAGTAGCACGGCATTATATCTTTATCAAAAAAGGAAGACTAAAGGATAAATATCTGATGAAGATGATGTTAATAGTTAGTAAGAAAGCTATTAAAATGAAATGGGGAAAGATGGACGCCCATTTGTCATGAACAATGGATAGGAAAAATAAAAGAAATCTACATCATGGAAAAATTTACATATCGCCTGAAATATAGGAAGAAAACTGGGAGAAATGAGCATTGTTCAAAACAAAAGACACTGACAAAAAATAAACTACTAGACAAACTGGATGGAACAAAAGAAATATTAGAAGAATCGCTCCCAAGTAAAGTTTTCTTATTTTATATAATCTTGAATGTGAATTGTTCATCTTCGCTTTACATGTACCGTATTTTCCGCACTATAAGGCAATGGATGCTGCTGTTTGAACAGTTTCTGCTCATTAAAACAAATCAGCCGATGTTTTTGAGACAATGCAGTGAGACGTGGGTTAGGAGAGGATTCACCTTGGTCAGGATGTGGTAGATCTGGGGGTACATCAGCCCTCTTCTGTGTCTGTGTTCGGCTACACGAAGAACCTCAGCACTGACCTGGAGAAAGAAGCAACAGGTGTGAAGAAACAAACGGTTCGTACGCTTTTCCTCCAATAAAATTCAAACATTTTCAAGGTAAGTTTTCAAACTTTTCCAGCGCCGCTTGAGATAAAAACACTAATGTCTTGTGATGGTATTCTAGAGTCTACAGAATATTATGCTTAGAAATGTTTTTACAGAGAAAAATACAAAACAAAATTTCAAAAAAAAAAAAAAAAAAAATTCTAAGTTTTCTGGTATTTAGCTAATAAATACCAGAATCTAATGATGAACCTAATGATCGTAAAAAAAATATAAATATTTCTCTGATTTGACAGTGAGAAAAGAAATGTGCATGTGTGTCTTTATTATCTTTAAATATCTGGTTTCAACTAGAAGTCAACTTTACATCAGCCTGTATTTATTCTGTATTTATTAATTTCTTTACTTACTGTCACTTTAAAAAAAAAAAAAAAATCAGATTTTGTTTTATTTTCTCCAATATTTTGTATTTCTAGTTTATTCCCTCCAGTTTAAAGTTGATGCTTAATTAACATTTGTTGTGTAATTTCTATTATGTAAGTGGAAGAAGAAAAAGCAACATTCGCTTCAAGAATCAGCCCAGAAAAAAAAGGTAAAATAATCGGTATTGGCCTTATAAACCTGAATTGGTCGATCTCTAGTTTCAGCTATAAATAACGCTGGCCAAATTTAGGCTTTGACCAAACATTTATTACAAAACTGTTCAGTTTGAATATGAAGCACCTTCAAAGACTTTATACAGAAATCAAACACTTTCCCAATCTTGAAAAGCCTAAAGTTGAAGCATTTTCAAGGATTTCATTCACTTGTAAGAATCCTGTCGAGTTTTAAAATTAATAAATCAATCTAAGTGTTTCCCACCCAGTAACATCAGCTGGTTTTTGAGCATCTCACCTGAGGCAGCGGGGGTGTGGTTATGTCCATGTGACTCCGCGTCGCCATCGACAACAGTGACGGAATGTTCGACCCGCTCCCGTTGCCTTGGGAACCGTCTCCGGAGGCCGGACCCCCTCTTCCAGCCGGATCCTCCCACCGAGAGGATTTGTCTGTTAGATGACTGCGAAGACGAGAGTTTCAGAAACATTCACACCTCTTCCACTTTCTCAGATCTTAAATCATTTTACTGACAATCATCAACGAGCTGTATGAGGTTTTTCTTTTGACTTCATCTTAACAGCTTGTTATCCAAACGTTCATTTTAGTTTAATAAATGAAAAACCTAGTGTGTTTGTGTTTATTCCATTTTTTGTTTCAAACAAAAATATTTTCCTGTGTTGATGTCCGCTCTGATTACGCGTACGGACTTCCACGGAGTGAAGTTCGCCTGAGTATGTTTGGGTCTAAAGCGCTTCGTCGTTCTGTTCAGCTTGTAAAACATGTAGAAGCGTATTTACTTAGCGTTGGTATCGTTGGGTTCGTCTCCGTCTGATGACGAGGAAGGAGATGGGGAGGGGCCAGACTGGGTGCCGGTGTGATGGTTGGGCAGGCGGTTGCCGCCCTGCGTGGAATCGTACGGCGCCGACCAATCGGAGAAGCCCATCTTGCCGGTCATCGAGTCGTTGCAGTCCTGGGGTGGCTGCTGAGGCGGGTGGAAGAGAGGGGCGGAGCCTGGTCCGTACGGAGCGTTCTGATATGGCGGCTTAAACCCTGGACCCTGTGGCGGCGGAAACTGGGGTTGGGAGGAAATTATTATTTACAGGAGCGCACAGGAATTAAAGACGTAACCAAAGCAAAAAACAACAGAAATCTACCTGATTCTTTCCAAGAGGGATGGGTCCCATGTGGCCAGGTGGTCCCCCAAATGGAACGGGTCCAAACCCAGGTACTGAGCACAGAAAGGAGATAAAATTAAATTTTAGCCTAGCTGGCTTCACAATAAAACATATTCTGTCAGATTAAACTGATCACATAACATCTGTCCTGCTGTAAACTGGTTTCTACTCACAGATGAAAGGCGAAGGCCCCATGTTGGGCGAGCGTGGTTTGGATGCAGCTGAGAAATACTCCACAGCTTTCTTGAATCGCTCCACCTTGTCCTCCATTCGTGACTGAAAACGGAGAATATGACAGAAAATCTCACCGTCATTATTTCTCTTATAAAATTCACTGAATTGTTTTTAAATGAACATCTGCTATACATCTTAATGTATCACAAAAAAGAAACACAATGCATAACTACGAGAATAAGTCATGATTTTATACTTCTAATTATGACTTTGAAGGTTAAAATTATGACTTTAGTGCCAGTAAAGCTGCTTATTATATACATTTAGCAGCAAAATGCAGCTGGTTTTAAAGCTGCAGTATGTAACTTATAAAAAATATTTTTTACATATTTGTTGAAACTGTCACCATGTCGTGACAGCATGTTAAGAGACACATAAAACAGAAAAAAATAAATATCAAGCTTCTCCGCCTTCTTGCAGTGTTCCCAGAGCTAACTATAATCAACCAATCAGAGCCAGGAGGCGGGTCTTAGCGCTGTCCATCACCTCCGTGTGGCATTACTCATCATCTCTTCCATTTTCCTTGTTGCTCTCCACTACACTGCAGCTAGTACATCCTGTTGTGTATAAAAGGTTTTCCTGTTGTAAGTTCTTTCTCCAACATTAGCACGTTTAGTAGCGAGTACATGAGATTGATTGGCTGCGCTAAGACCCTCCTCCTGACTCTGATTGGTAGTTTATGGCCGGCAGAGGTGCATTTCTTCGGATGGCAATAGCAGCTCAGGGGAAAAAGTGGAGGAGATTGAACTTTTCACAGATTATCTGTCAAATAAAATGGTGACAATTTTAACAAATATGTAAAAAAAAACATTTTTTATAAAAGTTACATACTGTAGCTTTAAACAAAGAGGTTTTAAAAATGCATCAGGACAACAAATATCCAGCAAAATTTACTTGAAGGATTGGGGGGGACAAAGTCTGAGAATAAACTAAATATTTTGTTGGGGAAAAAATTATCAAAAAATAGAAAAATATTTAGGGCTTTTTTTGTTCAATTTTTATGCTTAACTCTTTTCAATACACTTAAAAAATAATGATAATAAAAAAAATCTAAAAATCACCAAATTTTTTGTATTTTTAATAAAAGTGGCCCCATGAACACTTTGAATCTGGATAATCTGTTCTGCATGAAGCTTCCAGCATTTGTTTCAGCATCTGTGGCCAAGTTAGTTTAACATTATAAAAAATTTTTTAATTTTTTAATGCAGAATCAAACCATAAAGCACACCTGGAGCTGCCGGTGTTGGTTTTGTTCTTGTGGTTTCAATCACGTTTTTCAGCCTAAAACTGCTTCCTGCTGAAATCTTTCCACTGGTGAACAGTGCAGCAAACATTCACCACTGAATTAGCAGATCGTCTTACGCAGACTTTAATCTCGCTGCGTGGTGCAGCGGAAAAGCACCCGACTGATCACCGATGGAAACCCCCCTTGTAAAGCGTTTGGATTTTTTCTGTACTGATGTTTGATCATCTCCACAGTAATAATCTCTTACTTATCAAACATTAACTAATATTATTCTGCTTAGCTATTTTTCATGCAGAAACATGTAACGCGACTGCGGTAGGTTTCCATCCAGCCTTCAGGAAGCTGAGACATTAATCCTGCAAAGGTCGCGACCCACCTGTGACTGTTTGAAGACATCTCTGGCGATGGTGTCGAGGTTTCCCAGGTCTTTGATGGAGGAGACGTACTCAGAAACAGCTTTGATCACCACTTCACAGGGTGGCAGCACCAGCTGATGGGCTCGCACCTGAAACCGCAGCAAAACGTTCAAACTGAGAACAAAACGCTGACACTTCTTTTACAGATTTATGACGATGCGAGGAGGATTTTACCAAAATAAATAGTTCACATAAACTAAATAAAAATCTGTTACTTTTAAAACAAACTAAATAAAGATTCCAGTCTTGATTCCCACATGAGCCGACTCTTAACCACGCTTTAGTTCATGCTTCACTGACATTCTCACTCATTAATTTTGCATAAAGTCAGGCTCTGTTACAGTCCCATTCATTAAATATGCAAAGTAAAACAAAACACTAACTAATCAGGTCAGATACAAGTAGACATGCGTAAATTTAACTCTGTAAAAACATTTCCACCCTGACTATCTGAGGGTCAACAATGAGCAGCGTTTCAGCTGAAGTGAGAAGAAATAAACGTTTTAAAGCAATGAGCACATTCACTAATCCACCAATAGCAGAGCTAAAGTTTTGCTAAGCACTTTTGCTAATTTTGAAAGCTTTTAGGGCACTTAGCTAAAGCTTCTCCTGTCAGGGGTTTTGCAAGTTTCACAAACTTAAATTGTAAGACCTGTATCTCCACAGAAACGTATAAATGTTGTCCAGACAACTGGCAATAAACCTGAACTTCACCCGTTACAAACACAAAAATGTCAGCTAGCTAGCAAGGGCATGTTAGCAGCTAGTTAGCTGTAGCCTCAACCGTCTCAAGTCGCAAAACGCAATGAAGATTTTTAAGTACAAGTCAAACTTTTGCTGGACAGAAAAATCCTGCAAAAAACAACTGAGATAAAACATTCCTGTCTAGACTAAACTTAAGACCTCTGCCCAAGTTATTTTCTTTTTAATCTGCAGTTTTATAAACTTCAAGCTGAATAAAGTTCAACATCTAAGATAAAGTTTTGGTTTTCGACTATTAATACTTCTTCAAGATGTTAGACGTTTATATTCAGGCTCTTATTTTGAAGTGGGAAAAGACTGTTTAGGCAAACTTATCATTAGCGTTAGCATAACTCAGCAAATTTTAGTCTGTTCCAAATAATCACATAACCGCAACCATACAGGTAGGGACACAATAACATTTGATCCTGTAGAGAGTGATTTAACAAATTTTGTGTCACTGACACATGGTGAGCATCAACATGCTTCAAGTTAGTGCTTTAGCATTAGCTTTTTTTGTGTCTAAATTGAAAAAATGCTTAAAACATTTTGCAAATCTCAAAATGAAGGAAAGGATCTGTATTTTACTCCCTTCAGCAATGCGTTCCACAATACTGACTGATGTAAGACGGCATAATCATTTCGTCTTTAAATAATAAAATCCTGCTGAAGGACAACCGCTGTGTTGCAGGGCAGCGTGAAGTCTTCTCTGCTCCTGATGTAGATAATTAATGGCCGCTTACAGCAGTTGTGAACATAAGAGTTATAATGCATACTGTGCATTATAACTGTGTTATGGAGAAAATTAAATTAAATTGGAATCAGCAGGTTAAAGCTGATTAGTCATCAACAATTAAAAAATAAAAAAAGAACAGAAGCACAACTACATTTGGAGGCACTTTAGTCTGAACCAGACGCAGAGATTCCAGTTTAGTACTTAATGTGGCCTGTGCATTAATTATTTACCACGATGCATATCAGAATTTTCATTTATTGCCACAAGTTTCAGTTATTGATGATGAATAATAAAACAAAACTGACAGCATGATTGGAAATGGTATTTTTGATATTTTCTCCACTCTGATCCACAACAGCGTTGATGGATATCAGTAGATACTAAAATATGATTAAATGCAAATACTGTGTGCAGATTAATGATATAAAACTGGTCTGTCATAATAAATTTTGTTGGACGTTAAATTATCCCACGAGTTATTGTTATAACGATTATTTTGTTGTTTTGAGACTATTTTCAAGTAATATCACAATAATGTAATAATGCAAGAGCATATTCTGAAAAAAACTATAAATTCCAATGAACATTTAACACTGGAACTGAAATACATTTTAAATATAAAAAGTAAATAAACAAAACAACAGAAACAACAAATTAAAAAATTAATTATGAAGTCTGTAAACAAAGCTGTCCTTCGAAAAAATGGCTAGTCGAGACTGAAGACTTTAGTCATCCAGTTTTAGGTAGAAAAAAAAGAGAAAAATGATAAATCATGCAAATGTAAATTGAGTTTATTTTAATGTATCATGTGTTTAATTGATTTATTAATTTATTGTGACAGACCTTGATATAAATGACTGTTTTTTCAAGTAAGTATCCTGAGTTTCAAATGGGAACGTTTTTAAAGAACAATATGTCTGTTTGTGGCACATACAGTTGGATAAAAAATATGTTTTTTTAATCATAATTTTTATCGTTATTGCAACAATACCACGAAATATTGAGATAAATTTCTAAATCCAAGTACCTTGAGGGAAGCTAGTGGGTGTTCTGGTCCCAGCAGACTCCAGTGGAAGGCAGCCAGGTCTTCATCAGGCAGAATATGATTTCCTATAAGAGACAGGCGGGTCAGTTAGCGGCGGATAAATCGTCCTGGGCTGCGGCGGCTGCCTGGCGTCTCCTCACCCAGCAGAGCAGCGAACAGTGGCAGGTGCTGTGTCTTCAGGCCCAGCTGCCTGGCCGCTTCAGACAGCAGGTACTGGTGTGTGGTCAGGTTCTTTCCGTTCCAGCTCAGTTTAAGCGCGTGTGAGGAGAAGTAGGCGGGCACGTTGCAGAGGGCAAACTCTGAGTCCTGAGCGATCAGGCCAGAAAATCCGTAGTCCCTGTAGAGAGACAGCACCTCCTGGTGGTGGTCCTCCAAAGTCTGTACAACCTGGGGGTGAAGATTAGACAAGTTAATGGCAAAGAATGACAAAAGTTGCAACATTTGTTATATTTTCACCTGGTGTGCTTTGCTTTCACACGCCACCGTGTCAAACAAACTAAACCAGGGGTGTGCAAACTTTTTGCAATACAGGCCAGAATCCCAAAGTTTAAAATGTTCAGTGAGCCAAATTGTTAAAATATTTAATTTTATCTGCTCAGCAATAAACTAAAAACATTTATTGACACAAAGAGACACTTTTTTTACTTAACAAATGACGGAAATTTTTCTAACTATTTGGGTGAATTTTTTTCCAGTCTAATTGGTCTAAATAATTTTTAGGTCAAATCACAACAACAAAAATGAGAACTTTCTTCAAAAAAGAAAAAAAAATCAACCTTCAATTAAGAAAGCACATTAATAGGAGAATTAACATGTTCTGTTTTGGGGGGTTTTTTGTGAGAACTTGCTGGATGTTCATGGCTCTACTTACTATAAAATTAAAAATAATAAAAGTACTTAGTGCCAAACACTTTAGCTAAATAATTAAATTTGTCACTGAAATTCTCTTGTTTTTTTCTAAAGAAAGTTTGTTACATTCAATAGTTGAACAAAGCCAAAGTTTATACAAATTTATATTTAAGTTCAAATAAAAGCCTGATCAGCTTATCTTCACTAAACCTAATAGATAAAAAGAAAATCGAATATTTTCACCACATATCTGGAAGAGTTAGACTGAATTAAGTTGTTAAAGTTAAATTATTTGGACATTTCATTGTCAAATTGATTAACTTGTGTTGGGTTTAACTGAATTAATTGCCAGTTGATCACATTTGACAAACCTATAATTCATCCACCATGTTGAACTTTTAGCAGGATATACATTCAGTAATTTAAACTACTGTAGTTCTGATTGCCTTCTTCCACAGGACATTTCATACCAACCGTTAAATAATTTGAGAACACCTTGAGAACATTTTGTTCTCTGTTGGAACGGCTTTGACTTACAGTAATTTATAATCTGTTCGGCCTGCTGTAAGTAAACCTGGTTATGTGACTCCAATAATTAATAAACCATAAAACTGTCTTATTTTAGTTTAATCAGGAGTCTTAATCGCTGATATTTTATAAGTTAACAGTCCCTGACATTAATGGAAATACAGAGAAATATTAAATTCTTATAAATACATAATTATGTAAAATACTTAAATATCGAGAAAAACTGTTGGGGACATCAATAAAAAAGTTTGTTTAGGTCAGAATGTGGCTTTTATAAAAACCTAAAGGAATGTTTCATAAATAGTAAATGTAATATGATTTTAGTGATTCTTAGCAGTTATTCTGTATTTTATCACACAATATTTGCATAAGCATTACACTATGTGCTATATGAATTACATCTTCACTTTCCATATTTATGGGAAGAACTCACTAGCCTTCTACAAAAATTAAGATTTTTTAAAATAAAAGCCAAGAGTCATTTTGTTGTTACATATGAATATAGAAAAAAATATTTGTTTAAGCTTTCAAATTAATTTAATACATGTTTATAAAATCTTTTCTGTGGTCCTTGACAAATAAATTGCATATACAGCTTACAAATATATGTTTTATGTAGCCTAACAGTTTTAATCCACTATTAGTGAATTGTTAGGGATTAAAATCAGATTTTCCCCCTTATAAATACTAGAAAATATGAATATTTTTCCAAATCAAAAAATGCATAAAAAGTAAAATGTCCATCTTTTTTTTTTGTCTATGGACTCATCAACCAACATCATGCACTTTGATGGACAAATCTGATAAAACATTACTTGTAAATGTCTCTTTTTATATTGCAATTAAAACTACTGCCAAGATGCTGCAAAAGCTTTTTTTTTTCTTTTATGTGTTTCAGTCCTTAGATACAAAAAAACAGGAATCAGGCCTCGAAGAAAACCAGAAAATGTGCAGGAAAAAGTCTGATCAGCAAAAAATGTTAAGTACAAAACAGGCAGCTTTAACCAGCTGCTGTTTCAAAATGTATCAAAGGTTAAATTATTTTATGTTAGGTAATGTTAGGCTAGATTAGCAGAATCCAAACCTTTTGGCAGTCATAAAGCAAAAAGCACTCATGGGTCATAAAATACAAAACTAAAACAAGAGGAAAATAATTAAGATACATTTTAGCTGCTCAATAATACACTAAATATGCAAGTTCCAAGTAGAACAAAAAATAGTCTAACTTTTATATTCACTCAACAATTATGAGAGCTACTCATAATTGTTGATCTAAGACACAAAAAGGCCCACAGGTCTCTGCTTACTTCACATTTTTGTAGAGGGAATGGTTTTTCCTTCTTTGGCAAAATAAAAAAAATTAGCAACAAGATCAGTAGATCAGTGCTGTCTGTATTTAGACAAGTTATAATAATCAGGGTTGAATGGGATTCTACATGAGGAAAATAATTATTTTAACATCCTGGCTGCGACTTTAGAAGTTCTGCCACTTAGAAATTATGGAGGGGTCTGACATTTTCATCTTAGGTGCATGTCCACTGTGAGACATAATCTAAAAGAAAAAAATCAGGAAATCACAATGTATGATTTTTAATAATTTATTTGTGTCTTACTGCTGCAAAGTATTTGAACATCTGCCAACCAGCAACAGGCCCTCAAAGACCTGTTAGAGCATTGAAGATGGGTCGAGGCTGGGTTTTCCAACATGACAATGACCCGAAGCGCACAGCCAGGACAACCAAAGACTGGCCCCGTAAGAAGCATGTCTAGGTTCTGGAGTGGCCTAGCCAGTCTCCAGACCCAAACCGCGTAGAAAATCTTTGGAGCAGCTCAAACTCTGTGTTTCTCAGAAATCAACTCAAGAGTAGCGACACCTTATAATAAAATTACTCAAGTAAAAGTAGAAAGGACATGCCAGTAAAAATATTCCTGAAAGTACATTTAAAAAAAAAAGAAGTTACTCTTTTTTCTTACTAGGCCTGTCGAGATCAATTTTGGTGAATGAGAAATGGTCCCTGACATTATTCCATTACATGATGATACTGTTGCTTTTAGACTATTTTAAGTAATGGATAATAATGTAAGAACACATTCCCAGTAGTATGGGTGCAATGATCGTAGTTTTCTGGTCGAATGTGGATTACCGATCTTTAAAAACCCTGACTTATCAATTCCAATTTTGGCAGATGCCAATTTTTCTGACTGAAAGGTTGCTAGATATAGCAAGAAAGTTGCTGAGTTTGGCAACAGTGGGGTGATCATTGTTAACTGTGAACGTGCAGACATGACCTGGTGGGCCAGTCTGTTGGTCAAACCTCTCTCACAGGAAAGCAGACGAGGACAGTAGGTCATTTTTCAACCTTTGCTGAAGTAGATAAGTTTGGCTTCACAGGTAAGTATTGGTCGATCACTGATCTCCCAAAATTAAGGAAATCGCTGGACCCCTAATTCTCAAAGATCAATAAACTTTAACACTGGAAGACATTTTAAATATCCAGAATAAATAAACAAAACCAACAAATAAAATTAATTATGAAGTCTCTGAAAACAAAACTGTCTTTCAAAAATAGGGCGAGTTGAGACCAAAACACCAGACAGAAGACTTTTATCATCCACAAAGAGTAGAAAGAGAAAAACTAAAAATCATGCACATGGAAATTATTGAGCTGTTTTAACTGATTTATTGCTAAATGCGACAGGCTTACCAAGTTACCACCCAACTCTGCTTAGAATGAACTTCTAGATGTGCACAAAGGAACCACAAAAAGACACTAGCAAAGCCACAAAAACCAGTTCAAACAACAACCATCACTCCTCTTTTCTTACCCGCACTCGGAAGCGGAACATGGCGAGGCGGACGCAGTGGCTGAGGCAAGCCGGGGGCAGGAACCATGCCCGGGGAGGCGGGGTGGCCTTGCTGCCGACGTGGTTGACTATCAGCTGCGCTGTCTGCCGCTGGCCCTGAGCTCGCCGCGCCCACTCGGGCCAGCGCTCCTTCCCCAGAGTGCCGTTGAAAACCACGACGAGCTCCAGGCCGCCCTGGTATAGACAGGCCTGTGACAGGGCGGCCAGGTAGCCCAGCATGGCGTTCCACTCGCCTCCGCAAACCCAGTCCGTCTGGTAGCCTCCGTACAGGCGCTGCAGGCTGGAGTCAGCGTCGATCAGGATCCTGGCAGGCGGGGGCGGGGGAGGCATGGGCCCGGGGTGATGTGGGTGGTGGTGTGGGTGATGATGGTGAGGGGGCTGGCGGGCCGCGGTGCGGGCGAGCTTGAGGAGGTCCACGGGGACCGCCGCCCCGGGGCACCGCTTCTCTAAATACTCCTGGAAACCCTGCACACCCATGACGGTGTTGTTGAGCCGGTGTGTGTGGCCGGGAGCGGCTTCTGAGTACGTTCTGTACGCCGTGTTTGTAACGTGTTGTGGGGTGAGACGGCAGCTAGCAATGCTAACTGGTCTCCGCTGTAGTGACAAACTGTACTTTGAGTTCACTGGAAAACAACCGGCTGGTGAGGTTGGGTGTAGGGGGGGATCACCGCGCACTAATTTTAAATTAACAACCCCTGTGTTTTTTTGTTAGATATTTTTTCCAAATGCTAACCTCTCACTTTTGGTCGTGGCTGCTCAGATTAGTGTCCATCCCTGTGGATTTTTTTGGTGTGATGCCAGCCAAGGCCAGTGTTGCTACCGACAACTACAAAAAGTTCAACAGATTTCCCGCTCCCATAATTTGGCTTCTTCTCAACCGGCTTCCAGAATCAAACTGACAGCGAGTAACGGACATGCAGCGAGGTGGTGGATGTTGCAGTGAAATGTTGATCAAATGATAATACCTCTGATTAGTCCACATGAACGGATGCAGAGCTGCGCATTAGTTAGCAACCCACAGACTGGATGGCCAGTTCGCGGACATAGTGTTCAGATTTTAAAATTCGTTATTTTTTAATGACAGCTGAATTTTTTTGTGCCACATTTATGCGCCTGGGAAACGTCAGCACATGTGGAGCCGCAGCTTAATGCCCCGCCGGCGGTTAAAGTATCAGTTAAAAAGCAAAGTACTAAGCAGTGTGGCTAGCTGTGCTTCTATTTGCTAACGGTGGCTAGCCGCTAGCTGCTGGCTGGGTCCCCGGCGTGATTTTGACGCGTCAACTCCCGAAGACGAGTCCGGGGCGGACACGACGCGGAATGAAATGGATGTTTGACGAACTAAAAGAAAAGTAACTAAAAGAAAATAAAAATAAAAGCCCGATGGTGCCTCCCTCGCGTTCTTCCACGCTCACGGCTTCATGTTGCGGAGGGGAACGTTACTTCCAAGCGACATCAGCCATCTTGCGACTTCCTCGCGGCCCAGTGGAATGGGAGGGGGATGAGTGAGGAGCAGGGAGGCGTCACTGCCGTGAAGGACTCTGGGACATGAAGTTTACAGGTGCAAACCATGAATCTTAGCGATTTAATCCTAAACGCGAATAAACTACAACTACCAGCATGCGAGCGACTTCAAGTTTGACTTAGATATAAATCAGAAGAGTAGCTTTTCTCGAGGCGGTCCACATGTGAACTGACTTTCTGCTGTATCTTTAAAATATAATTGAATATTTTTCAATGTATCTCATGCCAAACAGGTATCAAAAAAGTTAACACCTCAGTTTTATGCAGAATATATAGATAGTGAAAAGACAGAATTCATTTTAAAAAGCCAATGATGAATTGATAGCTTAGTACGAGAAAAGTAACTGAGTGGTGTAACAGGTAGAATGGTTATTCCTCCCTTTGTGATCAAATTACGTGTATTTGGCGTCCCCTCGTGGCTGTACTTAGTTTTACGCCTTAAAGGAAAATAAACACTGCAAACTAGGCCACTGAGCCATTTTCCACTGTAACTGCATAGGAGCTTCTCAAACGTGGACGTTTCCTCCCAGCAGCTCTTACACTATATAATCAGCACTGCTCCTTACTGCCCACGTAGCAAAAAACAAGTCTCAATTTTTTTTTTCTTTTCAGTTTAAACTCTACAAGCACACACATTTTACTCACCAAGTCCTTTCCATGTGTATTTTATTTTGCCATTAACATGTTCTGTTTAGATTTTGTACTATTAGAACGTCTCTAATTTTTTGTTCATTTTTTTTCTCCTATGTAATTTTACATCATTATGCATCTGCAGGAATGCAAATGACTTCACTGGGAAACAAATAAATGGTTATTCTATTCTATTATTTAACCACAAACTAGCAGGTATGTTCCAAAATAACTGCTAAATGTCATGCATATGACCACAAATGACTGAGTTAGATAAAAATGACCCAAAACCCTTGCGAAAGTAAACATGCTTCCGAAGACTTGCAGCTGCAACTTTAAGTTCAAGTACACCTGAGTGACCTAGTTAAAGAATTTGAAGTGGCCTAGTAAAAGGCCAAACTTAGATAAGATGCCATTTATTCTTTGAAAACTACAAATTTGGCTGATTTAGATGAATTCTGCAAGGAATAGTGGGCAGAAATTCCTTCACAGTGAAATAAAAAAGTCAGTGTTAATTATCTCAAACGCTTGATAGTAACTGTTGCTGTCAAGAACCACAATCAGCTGTTAGTAGTAGGACACAATTACTTTTTCACATAAGTGCAGGTTGGTGTGTAAGAATAAATTATTAGTTAAAAACTACTTTTTTTATTAGGATTGATAAAGCATCTGTTTTGACATGTTAAAAATCTGCTTAGGGCCCCAAAACGGTTGGGGCCAGCCGTGCATTAACTTTGATCAAAGTCCACTGGTCCCAGTCACCTCTTAGACCTGACAACCATTTATTTCTGGTGGTTCAACATAGAAACAACAGAGCAGTAACAACAGGGCCGCATGCATCACTGCTTCTGTTTGAGACCTCGATAATTATAATCTTCTCCAAATGAGGAAGCGATCGGGGGGGAAGAAAACAGATTAGCGCCCGGCTGGAGAGACGAGGAAAGAGGAGAGAGGTGGAATGCAAAGGAGAGAAAGGAAAAACTGTTTCTCCCTCCTCCAAAAGCCTCCAGTCTTTCACACCTGACCTGGTCTGCAGTCATTCTCAAGTTTTGCTGTGTTTAGTTACTTGGAAAGTGGGAACTCAGAGGTGGGTAACAGCGTTCTCTTTAAGAAGGCAGAATATTAAAATGGCGACCCCCATAAACATCATTTAACCTTTACGTTCCATAAGCAAACACCACTTTTAATTAGCTCAGTTTAGAGTTGCAAGTGCTACATGTAACATGGATTTAAGACACACTATTACTTGGAAATTCTTCTAAATTCTGACTTCCCAGTCAGAAAATTCAACTGGAGCGCCCTCCGAAGTCAGATTTCCCACTGGGAACAACTCCCACTACCTCCATCTACAACCTGTAGGGCGGATTTCACTTTTCAATATGGCCGCTCTTAGCATAAACAGTAGGAAGAAATTCTGACTTCTTAACAATAGTTAAGCATACTGTTACAGGACAGCATATTATTGCTTTGTAAATAGAAAAAAAGAGTAAATTTCTGCCAATGAACTAAGAAATTTTTAGATTAATCTCAAAAGAATTTCTAGAAAACACAGATATTTTGAGATTAATCTCAGAAATTTTCTTGAAAGAAAATTTTAATTTTCTTAATTTGACAAGTTGAAAATTTGCTAGAAAAAATATCTGAAATTTTGAGATTCATCTAGAAAAAACTTGCCTTTTTTGAGTATTTTATGGCAAATTTTCAACTTTTGAAAAAAAAATTCTAGAAAATTTCTGAGATTATTCTAAAACATTCTGAGTTTTTTCTCACAAATTTTCGATTTTTGGAGCTCAAACATTTTTATGTTTTTTTTCTACATAATTTCTTGGCAAAAATGTACTACTCCTTTTTATTTTCTATTCACAATAGGCCCAATATGCCATCATACTGTTTTATCAGGCTTACTTTAGCATTTGAGAGGCTCAATTGGAAAGTACATATGATTGAATTAAACTTTTTTATTTTTTTATAATTCTGCGCTACTGGAGCAAAATTTCCCATTTCAGAGTACAACTGGAACGCAGCATCAGTCAGCAGGTGATGCAAGAGGACACATACTCATGTCGGCTCACTGTGCTTGTACGAAAGCTCTTTGATCCGCTGCTGCTCTGCATTGATGGGGGATCAAAGTGGCACCAACAGCAGCGCGCTCTTAATCTAAACAATCAGCTGGAAATTATATCAGTTGTCCTTTCGTCGACGTTCTGCCCACTCCCACAGCCCCTCTTTTCTCCTCCTGGTGAATGCAGAAGGGGGCAGAGCAGAGGAAAGAGAGGGATGCTGGAGAGGGAGGAGATGAAAACAGGAGCCGGGGCTAGCATGAGCAGCAGAGGTCACCGGGGATGGAAAGCACGCACACATGCAGCAGGCGCAGCATGGATGCAGCATTTTTGCGCAGCAGCAGCAGATCAGGTTGTCCTGGCTCCTGCAGACGCTTCACGGGACGCTGAGGACGAGCTCAGTAAGTCTGAACCTTCTCAACTAAAACTGGGAATCCGTTAAACTTCACTGCAAAATTGCAATTTTACCAGGTGTTTTTGGTCTAGTTTCTGGTGTAAATATCTTACTGCACTTGAAAGAAGACAAAACTAACTTAAAAAAAAAACTTTCAGCAAGATTTGAGAGTTTGCTTGAGTTTGACTTTATTGATTAAAAAAGTACTAAAAGTTCCACTGGCAGATTTTTTCACTAATATATTTTCCCATATTATCCCAAATTATCTACCAGAAGAACAAGAACTTTTTCACTATTAAGAAATTAACTCAAAACAAGCTCCTGCTGAAAAGTTGACTTTAAGTTAGTTTTGTCTTCTTTCAAGTGAACTGAGATAATTGCATTACAAACTACTAAAAATACTTTATAATACTTGTGTTTTAGCAGCAAAAACATGCATTAGTACACTTGAAAGACGAGACAACTAACATACAAGTAACATTTCAGCAAGATATAGGAGCTTGTTTTGAGTCAATAATTTCTTAATTTCTGATGAACAGTAATTGAACACTGGCAGATTATTTGTAACTTTGGAAAAATGTCTTGTTATAAGTGAAATTATTTGCCAGTAGAACTAGAACTGTATCATCAATATTGAGGAATTATTGACTTAAAACAAACTCCTACATTTTGCTGAAAAATATTTTTAAGTTAGTTTTGTCTTATTTCAGGAGTATTAAGATAATTACCCCAGAAACTAAACCAGAAATACTTGGTAAGATTGTGTAAGACAGAGAAAGGAGGCAGTTTGATTCATTAAAGCCACTCAGATTAATTAAAGTAAAACTAAAGAAGCAGAAAAAGATGCAGATTGATCAACTTTTCCTTTTCCTCTTGGCTTCTAAACAGAAACAGTGCAGAACAGCAGGTGTCCAGACTTCTGACTGATGTCAATAAATCACTTTAATGCCTCACATCCATTTGGTTCAGTTGCAGAGGGAAGAGTATGTCCTGAATTATCTGTGTCCAAAGCAGAGACAGTTTCAGTTTCATAGTTTGATTTGGGAATGCGTTAATGGTGCTTCACAGCAGCAGCTTTTCTGTCACACTATATTCGGCTCAGCAGGGAAACCAAAACACGCTCGACGACTCGAGTTTCTTTGCAAGCCAGGAATGAAAAACCTCCACAGATCCTGATCAGAATTCCTGCAGATATCTTTTTCCGACATAAATCTATTCAAATTGTACCTTTCAAGTGTTGCAGCTGATGGATGTTGAGCTTACTTTGCCAGAGCTGGTTGTTTTTTTTGTTTGTTTTTTGAGTTCATATGCAGGTCTGCAGAGAATCAAAACGTGTTCTATTTAGATTGTTTGATTATTATGTTTTTAAAAGAAAAAAGTCGGATCTGATTTCTCTTTTGAGGACTTTAATGGAAAATCTCATTAAGGGCTCATTAAGGGTGTTTCCATCTGTTTTTATTCTTAAATTAAAAAAATATTACCAAACTCAAACTAGTTAGTCCTAATATGCATGAAATGTATCAATATTGTGTCCATGTTTTCACATTAAAATTGTTCTGAAGAGGCTTGACTGGATATGTTTGATTTGTTTCATCGTCTATCTGAGCTTACAAACAGAAAGACACTCTGATTAAGTAAGAAAAAACGCACAAATTAAAAAAAATACCTGATAACTGAAAATAATCTAAATGCTGATTAGCTAGCAGCAAAAAATTGCATTTTTTCTATTTTGTTTTCTTTGCAGATAAATATGGAGAGCGAAGAGTGCCAATTTGAAATAAATACATAACATATTAAATAATTATTTAAATGTGTAACTGTTTTTGTATAGCTGGAAAAAACAGAAATAATTAATCAGTTACAGAATTAATCATATGTGCCTGATTTTATTT